TTAGATTCTCTCGAGTACCAATACTAACCCCTCTCAATCTATATCTCCATTTCCTGACCCTACGTTACCCAAAACATCACACTACTTGGCTCCTCACCCATCATCCCCTCAGCCCACTCTATCTGGACCACCTACTCTTATCGGACATCACATAATCACCAGATCTCTTACCGGCTCTCTCAAACCCGAAGAAGTACTCTTAATGCAAGTCTATCTCCCCATCCGCTATTCCTAGCTATTTCTCCCAAGCTCTAAAAAATTTCTCACTGAAAACTTGCTATGTCTCTTGAAGTCAAAGGTCTTCAAAATCATACCACTTTGATACTCGTTTCTCTCCCCCTTCATCACAACATCCTGGATTGTAGATGGGCATATAAAACCAAGCAACATACTAACTTGTCTATAGCCAAACACGAAATAAGATTTGTCCTACAAGTATACAAACAAAGATTTTGTATAGATTGCAATGAAACCTCTAGTCGAGTTGCCAAAATGCCAACCATTATAATTCTACTCACCATTGCTCTCCCCAACAATTGGGACATTCTTCAACTTGATTTCTAGAACGCCTTCTTAAATGGCCAACTCCAAGACACAATCTATACACGGCAACATCCAAGTTTTGTGGACTCAACATCTACAGACTCAAACAGGCTCTAAGATTATTGTTTAACACCTCTGTTCATCTATGCCAATATGGCTTTCAATTCAACAAAACCAATCCAAGTCTCTTGATCTGCAACCAAAATGATACAACTCTCTTCATATGAAATATATGTTGACAATATTCTTCTCGAAGGCAACAACATGCGGCATTCAATCATTAATCCAAAACCTCATATCATTTCAACATGAAGAATTGTGGCCCCGTCTTATTCTTTCTGGGCATTCAAGTTTCCAAATACTCCCAAAGCTACCTACTCAGACAAATAAAAGTTGCTGAAACCATTCTATTGGAAAACTGCAAGCCAACATCCACTTCACTCTCATCCCATCTCCCTCCCACTCTGAACAGCAGCACACCCTTCTGTAATTCACTTTATACCATCAATTAATAGGTTCTCTACAATCAAACTTCGCTGCAGACCAGATTTAGCTTTAGCTGTGAACTACCTCAGCCAATCCATGCATCAATATCTAGAATACCACTTTCAACTTTTCTAATGCTTGCTAGGTTACCTTAGAGAAATCTTGCAACTGTGCCTTCTGGTTCCGCATGGAAATCTTCACTTAACATGCCTATTCGGATTTGGACTGGACCACCGATCTTATAGATTGCAAATCCATTGTAGGATACTGTTAATACATCGGCAACACGCTTATATCCTGGAGTGTAAAAAAAGAATCAACTTTCACAAAGTCTTTCATTGAGGCTGAATAAATAGCATTTGCTTCTGCTACCATGGATGGCAAAGGGAAAAATTATTCTACACAATTGCCCCCGGGATAGTCAATGGCAAAATTAATCTACGCATAATGAATTTTAATAAGACTTTATGGAATGCTATATACATGCATGAACCAAATAAATTGTGATATATTTTTTTTATTCTTTTTTATTTTTATTATTTTATTATTTTTATTTGGAGTAAGTATGCTTGTATTTTTGTTTAGTGGAATATCTTTTCTAAAAGTTTTCTATTTGGTTATAAAAAAAAAACAGAAAACTCGGAAGATATTAACAGAGAAGATTGCACAGCTGAACTCAGCCTTTGATGACGTCTCATCACAGCTTCGAGCTGATGATGATCCGAATGGTGCTGTTCAGGCTTCAGATGAAATTGAAGCTTCAGTTTGATTACAGCTTTGCTTGGTAACATATTCTCATGCCTATTCCTGCTTGGTTTTTATAGTTTCGTCAAGTCATTTCCAAATTCTGTAAAAGCCATTAAATTGCAGCATTAATAATGTTAACTAAAAAGAAAAAAATAACGAATACGAGGCTTTGAAACAAAGTGCTTTATTGTTCTGCATATTTTTATGATTTAGTGTAATGATATGGAATGGGGACACGTGTGGTGGACATGCTTTTGGATATGGGAAGAACATTGATTTAGTATTTATTTGATTTGAACTGGGTTCTCGAGCTGAACTATGTAGTTCATTCGAGAGCCAGTAATGATTCTGCTCTAGCTTTATTGGTTTAATCTGATCCTAAATTGAGGCAATTGCCCATTAAATTTAATTTATGTATCGTCAGTCCAATAATTGGAAGTTTATATTAAACTATTTAAGGGGCTTTGCATACATGCAATGCAATTATATATTTGCATATCTAGTTTTTAAAATTTAATTTTTATTTATGTAACATTCAATTTTTTATGGTGACATTAAAAATATTATTAAATTAAAATGTATCATATATTTATGACTGTAAATATCAAATTTTAGATGTCAGACGTGTAAATTGATCACAGTTGTCATGTGTGATGCTGCATAAGCGTACGCGTTAGAGACCTTCACGGATGGTTATCAGAAAGGAAGTTCTTCATGCATATCACTTGATTTCTATGTATTTACATATCTAACTCCTATATTTCAGTTTTTATATGCATGCACACTTACCCATACGTACAAAGGTGTATTTCACTTTTTTTTAAAGTAAAAATGGTGGTATTTTTTGATGTGCAGGGTGTTAGAAATGTAAACAAAAATTGAAGTTTGGGTGTTAGGTATGTAAATGCATAGAAATTGCGTGGTTTGTCTGTAAATGCCCCAACTTAATTTGCGTCTAAATGATATTCTAAGCAAGACGAACGTTATCTTAGATTCTCTCGAGTACCACTTTCACTTGTTAAACTAGATACAGAATGTCCATAACCGGCAGAGTTACCCGAAGAAAATGAGCGGAAACCGCTTCTCTACTGGATCTATGATATAACAAGCATGACCATTCCCACTGTCGAAAGTTGGAAGTTTATAAATTTAATGCATATTTGGAATTTTTTAAATTTTGTTATTTTGTTTTATTTAATAAATTTATTTGTTCAATATATATTTTCATATTTTATTGGCTATATTTTCTTAAAAATAAATTAGTCTTTTTAAAAATACTCCAAATAAAAGTGTGAGTTCCTGTTAAAAAATAACTATTGCGGCTAGCAGCTCGATGCCCGCATCTCTGATGGCTAGCGTCGAAGTAAAATTAAAAAAAAAATAAAATAATTGTATAAGAATGTGTTTTATTTGAAATTTAATGATAAATAAAATAAATAAAAGGATATTGAGACCAAGATGTTATTTTTGTGATCACAATGCAAAATCCTATGTCTAAAGCTAGGAATTTCGTGTGTTAGAAAGATTGGACGGCGTGCCCCTTGGCAGTGGTGGAACTTCGATATAAAATGTAAGGAGTGCGCGAAATTAAGGGCATGTTTAGTGCAGCTTATTGGGGTGCGGCAGCGAAAAGAACGTTCGCACATCGTTTTGGTGCCGCTCCTGCATCCACGTCCAAATATTCTTAATAGGCTTTGATGCGGGTTAATTCCTGCGTCCTGTGTTAGCCACCTGCGTTGCCCTAGGAATTCTGTAGGTGCCCTTTGCTCTCCCTTGCTCTATCCCTCCCTGATTTTCCTTTTGTGCTTCTTAACCCTAGCGGAGATCGACACTTCTCATACGAGGTATGTTTTGCCTAGTTGCGATCCTTGGAAAAACGACAAGTTCTATTTTTCTGCTAGTTTTTTTTTAGAGTTGGAGTTCCAAACAATAATTTTTTTTTTAAATTTTTTTCGAGATATATGAATTTCTTAAGGATTGTTTGTATCGCCTAGCTGCGATCTGTGGAAAGAGGGCAACTTCGATTTCTCAGCATGTGTTTTTTTTGAGGTGGAGTTCCAAGCAAGCAGTTTTCTATAATTTGTGCCTAGATTTATGAATTTGTTTAATGGGTTTTCATTAGTTTGCACGGGAATGTTGGTATAACTACTATAAAGCAAATTGTTTTATCATACTTTGAACATTAAAAATTTGTCCTTATGTTGGACGCTCGGGAATGTTGGTATATGTACTGGAAGTCTTTACTTTTAGCTGCTGCTTGGGTCATTTTGAAGTTGATGAGGAAGCATCTGATATATATAAGAAGATTAGTTATGTTGATTTTTTCTGGCTCTCCTGAACTTGAGCTTGCCAGAATTTTGTGAAATTTAGTAATGAAGAATTCCATTGTAATCCTTTCACTTGGACTAGAGCAAAAATTTACTTTGCAGTGAATATATAATGGTCTTTATGAGGATCATGCTTAGAGTTTTAAGAGCATTCCTTGATGCTATTTGATATTTCTTAGTTGTATCATACATTTCATTGATATCATGATGGGGGATTGGGGGGTTTTTTAATATTGACATTCTTTAATGTTTTGCCCCTGCGAGCTTTATTCTGTTGGCATTCAACTGTTACTGTCTTCCATGGAATATTGTAGATGCTAGGGGTCTTGTTTTGAAATAATTTTATACTTTTGCTGAGGTGATATGTTGGCATTCCACTTCTAATGATGACATGAAATGAGATGAAATGGTGGCACGAAATAATTTATATATTCTGTCAGTGAGGTGATCTGTTGGCATTTTACTTCTAATGGTGACATGAAATGAGATAATTTTAGGCAGCTGTATAGAACTTTACTCGGCACTTGTGTTAGTAAGGTGAGCTTTAACATTGAATTGGTTTTTAGTGGTGCCTTGAAGAAGTACTTCGTAAACTACTGAGGGAATACTTCGTATTTCTATTGGGGGATTGGGGGGTGTTCTATTGAGCATGCAATATCATGATGAGCTTGCAATATCATAATGCAATATTATTATTTAATATTGAATGTGTTTCCATATACATATCTATGTTCTATTTACATATATATGAAATATTTACATATCAATGTTCTATTTACATATCTATGTTATGTTTCCATTTCATGGTGAGCTTTCAGAAGAACTAGTGGTTGAGCAGTTATTTTTAGCCACTCTGTACATTATATTTAAAGAATAGTGGTACTCATTGTTGTTGTTCTATCACACTTCTCTTGGTTTCATTTCCAGAACCATTTTTTTAAGTGAAATTGTGGGGATGCAAAGTTGGGGGAGAATCACAGATGTTCAGTATGGTGTTTGAGCTATGGTATTTGCCAATAAGTAGCTATGATACTTGTAACCTTGTCGTTTCAGTGTTTTCAGGAGGTATAATGCTATGTATAATGCTTATTCTGTTTCAGAATTTGAATTTCAAATGCTATTCACAAGTTAAGGAGCATATCAAACTAGTTGAGTAGTTAAGGCTGCAGCTGTTCTTGTCTCCCTGGTTTTGGTTATGTATATGATGGTTATGTATATGATGACCCTTCATTTTTAATAGGGTTTCCTCAGCATATAAAGCTTTATTTATAATAGGGTTTCTTGTGCATTTCAAATGACATCATGGGGGAGAATCACAAAGGCTTCTTGGGTATGATAAATACTGTTTCTAATAGATTATTATTTCAATTGGCAACATTTTTAAGCGAACAATCAATATAGTTCCAAATGGCATTATTTTTAAGTTCCTCTATTCATGCTGCATATCAAATGTGCTTTTCAAATGATGTTGTCATAATCTGGGTGTATATGATGCATATCATAATGTGCATTTCAAATGGCATCATTTTTAATAGAATATTATTAAAATTGCTTTGCAATTACTTGTTCAATGTTTTCGGTGCCTTGAATATCATCATGCTAAGTAGATATGCCTTCTAGATATATGCATATATGAGATTTTTTAATGTGTGTTAGCTTAGAATATGACAATAATATATGTTAAGTTCCTCTGTTTAACCAAAAATTTTTCATATAGTTTCAACATGACTAAGACGAATGAAAGTGGTCCGTCAGCTATGTGGGATAAGGAAGTAACAACAATTTATGTATTACAAAAATTGAAATCAGAAATAGTCCAACCACGTATTTCAATAAGGAAGGTTGACAAAATATTGCAAAAAGGTTCACAAAATTGACGGGAAGGGATTACGACAGGTTGAAATTCAAAAATAAATGGGATCAATTGAAGAAAGAGTGGAAAATTTAGAAGGAGCTCAAATGTGGATCGACCGGGTTGGGTTGAGATCCCATTAAGCGAACAATCGATGCTCTAGATGAATGGTGGGTTGAGAGATTGGTGGTAATAAATACACTCTCATTTTGTATATTATCATATTTTTTGGTTATTTACTAACCCATCTCCTTCCATTCAATGATACAGGCCATGCCAATAGCCAAAAAATATGGGTAGTGAGAAATTGAGCCGGAGTTTAAAGAAAAACAGGACATCATGTTTAAGTGTGTTTTCGCAACGGGAAAACATGCTTTCAACCCAAGTGAGTTGGCCTTTTCAAGAATATCAGATGACTTGCCACCATAACATGTTATAGCAGATGAAGAAGGGCCTTGTGTTAACCAAAAGGGGATGGAGGAGTCTAGTTCCCTGCCCAAGAGGCCCGGGCTTGGCTGGAAGAAGAAAGAAAATGACATTTTCGTAAAAAGCTCATTCGATCAATTGATTGCTGCTTTTGCATCTCCACCCCCTTGTGAAAAACTCATTCGATCAATTGATTGCTGCTTTTGCATCTCCGCCCCTGACAACAACATCTTAGATTGCGTTGCCATTTTGGATGCTTTTTCAGTTGTAGTTGTTGATATGTGCTTTAATGCAAAATTTTTTGAAAAACCTTAAAGACCCTACGCGTAGGCAAATGTTCATGGCACTGTCACTAGCTTTTTCTCTTATGTAATTTCATCTAAGCACTTTTATGAATGTTCTTTTCTACTTCTTTATAGTCCTTGATTTTATTTCTATTACATTCGTCTGTCATAGCTTGTCCTAATACATTTCTCTTTTTATGATGGATCCACAACAAGAACGTCATAAAAGAATGACATGGGCTGTAGCTATTGTGATATTATTGTTGGAATACTATCGCACCAACACTAGACGGATACCGCACATGACATCCTCCCAGGTTGGGGAAAAAAGGGTCGGTGAAATGCTTGTTGGACATCCGATAAGGTTCAACAATATTTTTCGAATGACTGCACC